CCTCCTCTCGCGCGCGTCAATTGTGAAATTGCGAAGGAAAATCCGAGCAATTTACGGACTAATTGTCACGCATTCCGCTCTTGTTTGTTTATTTGTTTGTTTTATTCGAGCATTAAGACGGATGCCTTTCCAATTCCTATTCGACAAACGCCCATCCTTTGTTCGGATTGCAATTTTCAGGAAAAAAAGGTTTAAATGAAAGTAGGTTATCTTAGCAGGAAACAATAAACAGTTTTTAATTTTCTTCGTGGAATTAATTGTTTTAAAATCATTACATTTTAACTCCAAATAATAACCGTTAAGGATAATTTTTATCATTAATATTCAATTTTATTCTTGTTAAAATTTATGAAATGCTTTAAAATAACTATTAAAATATAATCAATAATTTCCATTTTATATTCAATTAAAAATTAAAAGAATGGCGTATTGAATATAGACTGGTAAATTGGAATGGTTGCCAATATTTTTTTTTAACTTTTACATTTGAATATTTCAAAGCACCGTTGCAGATTTCTTATTTCGCAAACAATTATTTTTAAACGCTGGTAGGCCGTTCAAACTTATCACCTCGCAAGGTCAACGACACCACCGTGAATGCATGCGAAAACAGCCTCTTTGCATAATTACACATGTCCTAGAGCTGATAATAACTGAGCGTTCAAGTTCAGAGCGTGCGAAATGCAAATTTTTTCAGAGCTTCCCATTCCATGGCTCAAAGGCTGATTGAGAAATGTGATTAAGCTTGCAATCATTTTGTGTAACTGCAATTATAAGCAGGCCACAAAAATGCTTTCTAATAATTAGCCGTCGTTAATTTTTAAAAGTGAGGGAGAAAATAAAATACACTACAAATTGCCGCATTACACGAATTCGCCAAGATATTTCACATTGCTGTGCCAAGTCACAGCCAAGAGAAAATGTGCCGCAAACTTGGCTCTTTGCGCAAAGCATTTTTATCGCTACCGGGCAAAACTTATCTCTGCCGCAGGAGTTCAAACGGAATGAAATATTAGGAGATTTCCTCGAAATTGGGGCAAACAGAATTGATTAGATGCTGCACTGCAATCGATGTTTATGTGAAATTTCAAAATGTGAGCACATTAAAAAAAGGTGTGATTAAATTAAATTTATCACTTTTTTCCAGGAAAACTTCAGGAAAATGAATTTTCTTTCTCTATTTTTACGTTTTAAACTTCTTTAACATTTTTTTGTTTTATTAATTCTTGCACGACGTCTCTCAAAATGACCAGTGATTGATTAGTGGTACACCAAAAATTTAATTATAAACCAAAATAATAAAATTAAAATAAATAATATCCTCATATATGAGAGAAATAAACGTTGACCTTTCAAATATTTGTAAAAATTTCACAATTCAAGTAAAATTTCACTATTTTGCAAAACTGAATCAGTTTTTATTGCAAAAAGATAAAAAGTATTGACGGAAAATTCTCGGAAAATGACGCATTAGCAAATTTTGCAAAATGGGCGCCGCGCGGAAAATCGGCGTGAATGCGCAGAATTCACCGACCTTGTTGTTTTTCGAGTTGAGCCTGGTGACCCTCTCGGCCTGCAGGACGAAGAGCAGCCCCCGGTTGTCGGACGGCGCCGAGGGCAGCGGGGGCAGGGGCAGCTCGGGGGCGGATTCCTCGAGCAGCAGCTCGTCGAGCAGAAGGACGTTGAGGCGGCCCTTGGAGGCCTTCGCGGAGGCCTGCATGCCTCTGGGGCCGAGAAAAGCCGCAAAAGTGAGTGTGATCTGGGCACCAGTCGCGCACAAACTGGCCCAGACACAGAGCTGCCGCCGATCGCGACACCTCGCCGGCTGGTGCTCAAACTAGACACACACGGTGCTCGTCACGGCTTTTTAGCAAAGAGAGATCTAAAGAATCAACGGCTCAATTAAATTGTTCTAATCAGCACCGAGCGCTGCCAATTGTTCGAGTGAAACTAGAAAGGGAGTCCCATTCAAATGACGTGCCCAAAGGATCAAACAAGAATAAATGATGGTTTTTTATTGTTTTTCATAAATGAGTTTGATAATTTAATGATAAATGAATCTTTTTAGTGGATTAAGTTATAAAAGGCTTGATATTGTGATTAAAAATTGTTATAAAATTGTGTTTACATTTTGTACTGAAAAAATCTATTAAAATATAAATATTTATATTTAATTTTTTATATTGCCTAGATGTAAGATGTGTATTTCATTGTATCTAAATGGAGAATATTTAAATAATTCTACCAAAGTCATTAAATTAATTTCGAACATTTTAAATTTACATATTGCTATCCCAAAAAAAGCCAAAGTGACAAAACCTTATACCCATAATAAATAATTACATTTCTTTAAATTTTTTTTATACATTTTTTTTTAATTTAAAAAAATTAAAATCTTAATATTTTATTTTTATTTTTAAAATTTGATTTATTAAAATTTTGTTTCAGTTCTTAAATTTATAAAAATTTATTAACGGATTCTTGTGACATGGCCATATCATTCTTTGCTTGAAAAGGTAATGCTTTTCTGGGATTTTATCGCACATTGCGCTACATGTTAGCTAAATATTAATATATATTCAACAAAATCAACAATATTACTGCAAAAAAAAAATAGCAAAATTTCATTAATTAATGATTTTATATTTAATATTTGTTACAAGAAATTTTTTGAATTTGTGGTAAAATCATCTCCAAATTTACTAAATAACCAGAAAAGAATTGCATTTCGTTTTCATTTTTCGCCAAATTTACTCGAAGCAGAAAGCAATGGACCGCCAAAACTTTCTCTCCCCTAGCAAATTTAATAAATTTCATTTTATGAAACGCGTCGTCGCAGCAAAGTGCCAATTCGTGTACAAGAAGGGACTATTTTCCGCGCCGGCTGAAATTCGCCATTCCGCTCGAGCGTAAATTCAAATTTGGCTTCGCAATATGGGGGTGAGGGCCGCCGCCGCCGCTAATACGTGTCCATTACTCACTCAAGGGGTGGCTTTGAAACTTTAAAGGGCTGCAGGCGGATAAATAGCGGCCGACAGGGGCAAATATTATGTACTCGTTATGTACTGCTCGGTACATGGATGAGCATCAGCTACTCATAACGGCGAGGAGGAGCGCGTGTTTGCGCACTAATTTGTGTTTGCAGTGTTTATCACTCGCATCAGGACCCGAAGGGGTGAGCGAGCGAGTCTGCGGGGGCGCTTTCAATTTTTGCAGACTGAGAGCAAACGGTAGAATAAAAGCGAGTCCGTTCAGATTCAAGTTCAATTTGATCCAAAACAGGTTTCAATTAAAAAGAGCGACAGTTGGGAAATCTGAGTAATCCTGAAGTGAAATATGAAGTAGAGAGATTTATATGTCGTCAAATCAAAGATGTAATTGCAATTGAATCCAAAATTAGATCAGATTTTAATTTTTGTTTTAGAATTAAATTTTTGAAAGATTGCATTGTGTACATTTTATAAAATTCACATTCAATTAAAAAAATGCGTATTTAATATAAACCTATAGAAGACTGTAGAAAATTTGTGAAAATATTTAATTAATAATTCAAAACATCTGATAAAATTAACAAATAAATATATTTTAAATGAAAAATTTGATAAAATTAAAAAAATTGTTATTCACAATATAAATATGATTTTCTAATACTCTTAATTATAATAAACGAAATAAAATTGACTTCTTGGCATTAAATTTATTACTGTGAAGAAAAAATTTGATACCATCGTCAAAAATTTCCAAACTACAAAATTTTCAATTTACTTTTTAACAAATCATTAAGCCACCATCACAATATTAATTGATCTAATTTCAAACTTCCTCCAAGGTATTTTTCAATTTTAAATTTTTTTAATAAGTTTGAAGCTACATTATATTCTCCTGGCCTCTTCTAAAAATTCCATATATATTCCCACGCAACAATTTCCGAGTCAAACTAACGCTCAAATTACACGCGAAAATTCATCAATCGCTTCCTGCTTGCCTTTAAATGGACGAGTGGGATTTTCTAAAGCCAGAATCCAAAGCAAATAAATCCCAGCTCCCAGTGGGTGATCTCTCTTTTCAGAAGTATCAGAGCGATCCATCAACCTTGGAAGCGTCAAATGTAATTCACCGAGCACCTACGCGACATGACCTTATTTGGGCCATCTGACTTTGTGCCAATAGTTTTATCTTTGCCCAAAACGATGTGCAGTTTGTCAAAACGCCCAACCCGTACACAAATTATGAGGCTGATGATTTATATTAATGTAAACTGATAAATATAAAAAAATTTTCTTCTCCAAAATAAAAAAAAAATGGCGAAATGAGATAAAAATTATATTTAATATTATATTTGCAATTATTTATTAAATTTTTATTTAGCCTTTGTTTGAATATTTAGATGATACTTAAATTAATTTGGTCTTAAAGTAACAACAAATAAAAAGTTATCAAAAAAATACAAATATAGGCTAGAAAATATAATTTTAATAACATCTTAAAGCTCAAAACATTATTAAATCCCCTAATAAAACGTTTTTGTGCAAAAAGTTAAAAAAAACTTATTGTTTTTTTGTCGCACACAATTTTGAATCAGAATGGCTTAATTTGGAAATATCCATCGTCAGAATGAATTTGAGAGTGAGTTTAAAAAAAATTGTTCATTTAAAAATTCTATATAATATATTGTATTTTAAAGTTAAATTTCAGTACGAAAATCTTGCTGATATCTGCATAAATTGCAAAGGTGTTCTGCGCAGAATGAGGGCCAAGAATCGTGGAAATTAGAAGGGATGATGCGATGTTGGCAACCAAAAACGGCCGACGGGTCTCGAGAGTGAGAGTGGCGGATCAATACTATACACCAAGTCTGTGTGTGAATTCAAACTTTGCGGGCCCGTTTGCGACGCAAACGGCCTAAGCGAAATCTCGTGTGCCGCGCCTAATTGGAGTGATGTTTCATAAGCGATATGCAAATTCGTTCTAATTAGACGCAACAATGAGAAAGTACTCACAGGCGAGTCCCAGGCGGTGTAGTTGTTCGAAGACGACCTCGAGTCTCCTCCCAGCAGCACTCTGTAATTGCAGGGCAAACATTTATGCCGACGAAAAATATATAACATGGCAAATTCAATTCAGCTCCGGAGCCAGACTTACTAATTATTGGAACGAGGATGTGTTCAAAATATTTCTCTTGTTGATTAGGAGCAAATAAAAAATACGGGCATAGTCAAATTAAATCCTCAAATCAATAGAAACCATTTTTTTTTTTTTTTTTTGCTATTTTTGAAGGACAATTGCGGAGAATTGGAAATTTTTATCAGCATTGTTGGCAAAAACGTAATTTGACTATGCCAATACGGAGTCCCTCAGGCATCTACACCGAATTTTTATTATCAAAACAATTTCCAATCTCAATGTAAAGTTTAACTAGTTTAAGGCAATCAATACTATGACGAAAATTTCATTTTGAAAACTTCATTCGAGTGTCTTGATTATATTTTTTATCAATTTTAAGCTGGTATAGGCTTTGTGAAAAGTGAAAATTAAATTTTAGAGTTTCAACTTCTAATAAATTTGATAAAAAAAATCGGTTTCGAAGATTAATCAGAGCTATCCTATGACATTCAAATGGAATTGACATTATATGGTTTTTATAAATATTTAGATTTCAGACTTCAATTTGTGAAAAATTATTTCAGTGAAAATAAAATAATTTATGGAAGCTCGTGGAATAATTTGTGTTTTTGGCTGTAATAGCTTAAATTATATTCAAAATTTCTATCTTTTTTAGAAGTGAAGGATGAATAGGTGATTAAAAGACTGACCTTGCTGCGGCCGTGGTGGTGGGCAGCAGCGGCAGGGAGCGCGGGGGTGGCGCGGCGGGCCAGCTGTTTCTCACCCCCGACCGTGAGTCACCACCTCTCGAGCCGTTGCTCACCCGCTCTGAAACAAGAGATTTAAAAATTCAGCACCTTGCTACGCTCTCTGCTCCCCGACACTGCAAAAGGTCACACAAGGGTGGAGGTCACATTATTCGCGCCTGTTTTGCTCCGGCGGTACCGATTTACGACGACGCAATAAAGAGACAGAAGCGCCAGTTTTTTTATTGTGCAAATATGAATCTTCGGTTCGCATCTCACACTTGTATGGGTTGCTGAATTTTGAGTAGGGGTGCGACAAAAGTAGTGGAAGAAGAAGTGACTGGTGGGCTGCATGTTGTGTTCACACAAAAACAATGAGCTGCTGTGACTCACGCAAGTTTGCCTAGGAAGTATTTTTTATTGGTGGTCACGGTTTTTGAAATAAGTCACTGCACGATTCCATGTTCACAATTTTATTGAAATTTAGTTTTTAACTAAACCAATTTTCAATTTTTCAGACTGTTCTGGGAAATTGGCCTTGTTATTATTTAAAGTGAGTTACAAACTTTTTGATGAATCTAGGAATTTTTTTCAGAGATATCTATAACCTGTTTTAACAACAAATGGTTTTGGGTTTTATCGCATGCATGTGTCTCTTTTCAACTGTATTTTCAGCTTTTTCTGTATAGTTTTTTTTTGCTGTATTCATGACTGGTTATGGAATGGAGAATAAATAAATATTTAATCGCGGTTACAAAGAAAACATATTTTTTGTCTTCTTGGGGGATGATTTCAAAGATCTATCTCCACTTACTTAGGAATTAAAATTAAATTACTTATTTTCAGTTTTGTTTTTAATTTAATTTTGATTAAAATTGTTTCATTTAAATTTTGTATAATTGCATATTTATGGAAAATAAATAAATAGTGTAGATTATAACATAACAATCTTAAAAAATGGAAACGAAGTTGGAAATTTTTACATTTTTTATCATAAAAAAAACAACAACAACAACTTCTTAAGTCTGATTAGGTCTTGTCCACATTTTAACTATTTTAAGTTCAAAATGAAATAGAAATAAAACAATTTTAAAGCTTGAGCAACAAATAAATGAACAATTAAGGACAAAATAAAGAAAATTACTGTGAAAAAATACTGCTTCTCTTCAAGTGCCATAAACGTTTTTTGGCCCAAATAAAACTCCTTTTTGGCTATAATGATTTTTTTTGTATTTAAAAGTAACTAAGCGCTGAGGCAAACTGTCAGTAATAAAGCTAGGGAGACGTGCCCACCTGGTTTTATAGTATGTCGTGTGGAGTAATTATTACTCCAGCATCTGGTGGATCAATAAAATATTTTTATTTTTATTCACCTCCCGAACGAATCACGCGATCCGGCGGTTCTCTGCATAGGGGACCCCCGACGTGCCCAAATCAGTGAAACATTAACGAGTTGAGTACGAATCTGCATTTCATTCAAGATGCCAACCGACACATGTTCAATTATTCATCAGCAGGGTTCCGCATTATGGGTCGTTCTGAGCAACAACCACCGACGGTACGCACGTGGTGTAAACAGAAATTCTCATTTTCAGTTAAAAATTCAAAAGCGAGGAGGATTTCATATAGAATTATGTGCGTTTTCGTGGCGTAAAATATCAATAATTCCGAAGGTTAGTGCTTGTAAATGATTCATCTGCAGCAAGCCCTTTTGGCCGGATGGTCCGCAGAGTGGTGCGGGTTGTATAATCTTAGACGAGCCAGTGCTCGCTTGGGTTTTTATGTTTTTATGTACGCTTCCGCGAATCTAGGTCTTCAAAACAGGGGTTAAAAGGAAAACAAAATATAAAACCAAGCATCCCAAGCCCAAGGAAGAGTGCTGCAGCCATCAATGGAAATCGATAAACTCACAAAAGGAAAACACACGAACGCTCAAAAGCCAACAAGAAACTCGCAGTCATCAAATCACGCTGAAGGGCACAACTTGGTAATGAGGTTTGAAGAGGACGAGAAGTAATGATTTATTTGTCTCACTCGGAGATATAAAAATTAATCAATATTTTCAAGGGCAAGAAATTTTTCCTTGAACCAAAATTTTCTAGTTGATATTGAAAGTTTGGTAGATTTTTTAATCTTGGTGCAAATTATAAAAAGACTGGTTGAAAGTTAAAAGACAAAACACCAACAATAAATCGTAAAACCACATCAACACAAACAAGCACTGCGGCAATTTGTCTGCAATAAAAGCACCCTCTCGAAACGCAAACCAACCCTTTGGAATCAAATTGGCAACCACCACTGATGCAAATTCTCTCACCTAGGCTGTGTGCAAAAAGATGCGGGTCAAAGTGTTGAAAACGCGTTCTCTGGTCGCACCCCTGTGCTGGTCACATGACATTTGCCAGACGCACCCCTGCCGCTCCCCCGGGGGTGGTCCACCCCACTCAACTCGCTCTCCTTTCCACCCCCGACAGCATCGCCCCGCCATCTCGGCGTGTGGGCGGCAAGTGTGCGTTTCGCGCCGCGCTCGCGAGGGCGCCACCGCCAAGGGGTGCGGGGGGTGAACGACCCTCTCGCCACCGCACACGGAACTAACGAGGAGGGCGTGGAGAACCCTCCAGAACAGAAGAGCAAACACGGAGATCGTTTTGCATCTCTCCTCCTGGAGCCGCAGGATAAATATTAATTTGGCCGCCAAGCGCCACTGGTCCTTTTTCACTTTGAAAAAAAGTGCTCGCTTTGCTTTCAAATATTAATGCTTGCGGCACCCTCGTTCCCTTTAAATTGGAATGGAATGAGCAATTTTTTAAATTGAAAAAAAGGTCAGAATTTTTTGAAAATGACGAGTTTTAAAATTAATAAAATTCCAAATTATGTAAATGAAAAAAAAATATTACACTTCAGACAGTTCAGACTAATTTAGTTTCAATAATACAATATTACAGGAAAAAAAGAGAGCGTAACTTACATTTTGGGCAGTAAAAAAAATAAAAACTGCAAAAATTTCATGTCTGCTTTTTTACAATCAGTGATGAATTAAAATTAATCTAGAAGGAACCAAGTTACAAATTGACGTAAATTTAAAATGATGGTTTTTTTTTCTTTATCTCGTATCTTGATTATTTCTGTTAAGTTTTTATTTTTTAATAAAATATTACTCACCATTTTGAATTGGTGGTTTTGGAGGCTGACACGATTCCACAGACGTTGCTGGCTCTTCTAGTTGCTCCTGCAGCCGCCTGGTCTCCAGGGTGAGGTCACGCACACGTGCTAGCAAGTCCTCATAGCTGGACACAGGCAGGCTCATCGCTCCCGCTGGCCATCTGCAAAGAAATCAAACAGGAAAATCAATAATCCGATTCAAACGCCGCTTTCGAAAGAAGACCCTTCTTATTTACAGGTGGTTGGGCAGCCGATAAGCAAGGGGGAAATTGAATCGCGAGCAAGAAAAATCGACGTCCAAAGAAAATATTTTCTTTTCTCAACCCCTGTAGAAATATTTAGCTTTAATCTTTCCTCGGACGGGAAAAAATAAGAGCCCGGGGCTCTGTACTTTATTTATTTTTATCATTTTTTATCAGCCGGGCGAAAATCGAGTTAGGAGCTAAGGACCACCTTTCTCGCAATTTGGCCCTGGTAATTTGCGAGAGTGATATTTTTTAGGGACAAAAGTAGTGTAGCTGCAAAGAAGAAGAGGAAGTATTGTCTGGGGTCGCACAAAGAGAAATGGCCAGGATAATTTAATTTGGAGCGAGGCGGTCTGACTGCAGGCGGGGATAATTCCGAGTGAGAGAGGCTGGGCGGACAAAGAGAGAAAAAAAGACAACACAATGAGTGCCGCCGCCGCTCTCTCAATTCATCTCTAAAGGGTATGCAACACAATAACAGACCCGCCTGAGCCGAGATTGCGGCACGAATTTCCCACAAATTCTGCTCAAAGCTCGAAAACAGCCTAATCTGTGAATTTTTATAAAAAGTTGGTTTGAAAATTCAAGTAAACGAAATCAAGGATAAAATATAAATTAGGCAGTTATAATTTAATATTCAATTCATTCTTTAATTTAACCTTTCTCATTCACAACAATAATAGAATTTGCTAAAATATGAAAAAAAGAGATAGATTCATTCACTTATATTAATGATTTTTTTTTAAACAAATAACAACTTTCAAAATTTCTTTGCTGTAAATTGATTTATAAAATAATAATACAATGTGGAAAAATAACCAACTATAATAATTATAACAATAATAAATAATATATTGCAAATAATTATTTAAACTAATATTTAATTACAACTAAAAATGAAATAAATATTATTAGATGTATTTAAAATTAACCAATTTCAATAATTTTACTATTGGTATAGGGAACATTTGCGATAGCTCGGAAAACTTACGAAATGAACAGTTCTGTCAATTATTGTATAAAAGTAGTTTTACTAAACCCATGTACTGCGGCGGCCGAGTCCAATTTACAATTTTGTATTGACCTAGAAGAATTAATCATCATAATTTTACATGATAAATTTAGGTGAATTGAATTTATAATCTTGGCTTTTCTCTAGTTTTTTTTTTAATTTTATAATTTAATAATCATACTATGCATTTTCTTTGAATTTCACAGATTTCTGTAAATATTCAATACTGCACCTTATTGTTAGATCAACAAGAGCTGACTCCAGAGTTATACCATCGACCCCAAATTCAATATTTTTTTTATAGCCGTATCTCACAATGAATAATTCAAATTCCACCTTTAATAAATATGAATTTTATATCATAAATTTGTCACTTTTTTCCGGGAAAAAGGTGATGTGTTTGCTTTTGTATAGCGCGCGCCGTAAAAGTGTTATCTCGTGTTTCATTGCACGGCTCTTGAACTTTCCCACGAAAGCCCATGGGCAGGGTGGCCTTTCCAGCTGGTGGGTGTCGTGAGGCGACTCTTTTCCTACGCCAGCAGCCAAAGCTATAAATCGCAATTAGCCAAATGCACTCGTTGCGGCGCGACCGACTGACTCCAAACTGCGATCCCAGAGGGACGCTAAAAACGCTCCAGCACCGACTGGCCGGCCAGTCACGCGAAATCCGGAGCATTCGACAAAAGCAATTACCGCGCGCCGCCAAGCCTGTAATGTTATCCCCGGCTTATCTCTGCCGAAAATGATTCAATTCGGCCCAATTGAAATGCATCAGCCGATTTTACACTTGGTTGCATGGATTATACAGAGTGATGGAAATGAGGAACACAATTTAAAATATTATTAAATTTGAATTTCAACAAAACATATTTTCAATTCAGTTTATAGATTTTAAAATATTCAAATTTTTTTTCATACATATTTTTACAAGCAAAAAAAGGGTTTAACACCACCAATTTTTTTCATAACCGCATGATTTCTATTCCAAATAATATTGTGTTGATCTTTAATTGCTTGGCTAAAATTTTACATTCCAAAGCGTCCAAGAATGGCGAACATTCCTTGAATTAAGATTTTTATCACTGGTTAAAGAATCTTTTTTATAGAATTCTGAAAATAATTCTATAAATTATAAAAAGACAGGCAAGTTCCAAAATTTGCAAATTTTCATTTTTAATTTTTCTTCTTGAGCAGACTTAAACGATTTTTTTTTTCATTATTCACACAAAAAATTTCATCAGTTCTGTTAACAACGAAATTAAAAAAAAAAAATGAAATAATGACGATACGATGATGCTTTGTACCAAAATTCTGAACCACCCAATTTATTTTTAACATTCTGGATTTTTTTAAACATGGAGACATAAAAATTTTGACCCTCTGTTGATGAACTAAAATAGCACAAAATTGATCACATTCTTTGGAAAATGAAAACTTTCCATCTCCTTTATCCTCCGTATATATTTTGGAAACGAACTGGAAAAGGGAATCGGATTTGCTGCTGTAGGCGCAGAGAGGGGAAGTTATTCAATTCAATTAAAAAGCAATACCGGCGGCGGCGCGGACGATATTATTTTTATGTCAAAACACGACTCGAGTTGGCAGTTCTCCCGGCGAGTTTCCACATTTGCAGCGACAGCGAGGGTTTCCGTTCCCCCCTTGGATAAAAGTAACCATCCAACAAGTTAGCAGCACCAAAAGTTCCGAAACTCGCAGGGCCAATTTCCAGCGGCGGGAAAATTAGCTGCGTGATGAAAGAGGGAGCGAAATTCTGGTGTGTAATATTTTGCATTCTAGCCACAGGCCAATCGCTGCAGCGAGATCAAGCGCCGGTGTGGGGAGCGCACACGATGGGAAATAAATTTATCTGCAGAAAATTGAGCAATATGAGGCGAGAGAGTTACTTTTACATCAACTTTCCTTGCCGAACACGCCGGCGAGGGGCCAATTTCAGCTTTCATAGGCAGGTAGATGTCATTTTGCACCCCAGCAGGTCAATATCCCGCACCCAGGCCGACATCATCTTTTCGATTTTTTTGCTATACAGGCGGGGTTCTCGCTCGCGGAAGCCAAGACGGATTATTGGAAATGATGTTTTGAGACCCCTGTAATGCTCTCCCACTGCAGTCGGCCGACCAAGCTAGGGTGAAGCGAAACAATCAAAAGTTCGGCGATCAATCACCAAACGGGCAATTTTTCACCTCATGAAATCAAGCAAAGCACCCAGAAAATGTTAAAAAAATGAACACATTTTTTCAATCAAATAATTTCGCTGCATCCAAATTTGAAAAAAAAAAAAACTAAAACACCAGAAAATATTGTTTGCGGGGAGATAAATAATTTGGGATATTCACATGCCAAGTTAGCTCACTTTCCATATGCTTAGCATGCGAATGTCCCCCAATAAATAATGAAAGGAAAAATTCCATGAAATTTGAAAACAAACAAGGAAAGTGATTGAATAATTCATTTTTTTAAATTTAAATATGATTAATTTAAATATTACAGACAAATATATTTTCAACAACCACGTCTCTCTTGGGGTTTGGCATTATACGAAAGTACAATCATTGCATTATTTAAAAGTGATGATGATAGAAAATATAAATAATCTATTAAATACTTTTCTGAGAGATTTAAACATTCAAATTTGATAAAGATATTTACACTTTGCAAAAAATTAATAATAATTAAGAGTCAAAATTAACTTAATTTATCTTTAATTTTTAGAATTAAAACTAAAATTTAATAAATAAAAGTATAATGGCGTAAAATATAATATTATAAACTTTTAATAAATAGAATAAGTTACTGTCTAAAAGCACTGGTACTTTCTCTAATGTCTTATGAGGCGTTATTAATTTATAGAGTTGTTTTAGAAAACACAATGAATTATATTATAATACAGTCTCATAAAACACATCAAGCTATAATTCAACAATTTGAATTCCACCACGGTTTTGGCTGAACCAAAAAATTACATTTCAATGAAAATGATGTGATGTTATATTATTAATCAGAAAGGTTGGAAAAAAATTAACCGATAATTTTGTAGCAGAAATGAAAATACTTAAAAATTCCGCATGTTTTTTTTAAATCATGTTAATAGTATTTCTAAACTGAAACTTTGCATTTCAAATTTCTGACATTGAAGATTTGCGTTTGGAGCCTTCGACCCTTGCCGCAGGCTTTTTAGAGGATGCTTATTTATTTTTATCGGTTAGAGTTTTGCAAGCACTTTGCCTTTCCGCTTCGAATGTCAAACAAATTGAATTCGGCGGTGCAATAAAGAAATTTATTGGGGGCCCACCTGTCAAGCGATTTGCATAATTTATCGCGGCGGCAGGCGCCCCTTCAAGGGCCGATGCACCATCAGCGTGTGTGTGTGATGGCCTGGTGCTCACAACAAACAAATAGCGACTCTTCTTCTTGCGCTTGCAGACCGAAATATCGATCGTTCGCCGGTGGTGTGAGAGAGAAAGAGGGCATTTATTTATCTGGTGCGCGGCGGCCGGCACCACTGCCAGGATCAATGCACCCACCTGAGGGACTAACTCGCTCCGCCTGCAAGACAAATGCACCCCTAAATGCGCCGCTTTAATTAAAACCCTCGAGGCTGCTCTCCTTGGCTGTAATTTGTATCGGTTCTCTGTTTCCGGAGTGGCAAATAATTTATCGATGGACCTTCTGGGAATGATGACATTGTCCGGCTAACTAATTGCTATGCTAATTTTCATTGCGGTCGCTCGGTGTGCATTGAAAGTAATGGACGCGAACAACAACTGTGTTTGTTCATCTCAAATTGGAACTAATTACGCGCTCGGGTGCAGCTGCCGGTTCGTTCGATCATCGGCCGCGCCGCAGTGCTGTTTGTGTGATAATACAATTTAGTTGGTTGGTTTGT